GCACACACACACGTACACACACACGTGGGTTCCTGTTCTTGAGGGCGTCCCACAAGGATCTCTGGCCCGGCTGGGTGCGGGGGTCCGGGCCAAGGGGATAGAGTGCGAGCAGGGAGGGGGAATCGCCTCTGCTGCCTCCACTGCTGTCTCCACCTGTGTCTCTGCTGTCCTACCCAGTTACTCCCGGGTGCTGCACCTGTCTCTCCACACTGGGCCAGCCTGGGCTGGGTCAGTGAGAAGCTGGCTAGCTAGCAAGGAGAGGAGGGTCCTGAAGGCGCTTGGGGAGAGCAGATCTCTTCCCAAGCGTTACAGCTCTTGCGACAGAAACTCTCGGACACTGGGATGATTCTCGCATACCTTTACTTCTCCTGAATAGGGCTCTTATATACAGTTTTGGGAAGGGTCAGGGTCTGGCAGCAAATAACCCCCATTGGCTTGGTCTAATAGCTTGGAGATACCTCATCTACATGTGGGAGAGCCTAAGGCACTATTCCTACATGACCGATGGCCGTAGACCTCTCTGTGGGAGGGGCTGTGGAGGACTGAAGCCAAGTGAAAGGAATCAGGAGCCCAGGAGCAAAGCCGAACACCTTCCTTCCCATTCCGGTCTGGGGTTCAAGGCCTGTGGTCGACCAGGCGCCCAGCTGCCTCTCACAGCCCACGCCCCATATATATATATATATATATATAACTGTAGACACCTTAAGGTCTACAGTTTCTATGCACTTTTTCCACTGATAATTGTCTAAGACTGGGTTGTCAGAAATAACAAGAGAAAGGTTTCTAAGTTTATTTTTATAAGGTAAATTAAACTGATTAACATTTTTTTAAAAAATGGAAAAAATCAATATTCCCTTTTAATTATCTTGCTGGTTTTACACAGTGTGTGCAGTCACCACAGTATTTTATCTCCTGAGGAGGGCACAAGCTCTTCCATTTGGTTCCACCTACTCATGTTTTCAGATACAAATGGTTTGGTCTGGTAAGTTAGTGTTCCATTTATACCTTTGAAGAAGATTAGAACAACCAACTACATTTTAACATTGAGTATCTCATACATCCCAGGAATTATAGTTTGCATTTGAATATAGCCTTATTCATTCACAAATAGTAAATTTGCCACTATAATAATACATAATTTAAATTATTCACAATAATTCATTTTCTTATGCATTCTGCACTAATAATAAATAAAATAATAAAATAACTAAGAAATTTAAAAAAAATAAACCTCTATGGTAGGTTTATGGGGTAGAAGAAAATAAATTAAAACATAGTTCCTAAAAAAATTCACCCTCTATAGAGGCAGATAGAGAAACAGACAGCACAGTGTGACAGCCTGTTAGAATGTTACAATGTATAGGAACTTTAGAAGGACAACTTGATCCAGAATAATACAGCTGTGGATGGTCTGCAGGAAAAGACTTTTGCCAAGTCAAGAGCTGGTGGTGGAGGAAGGGGAGAACCATGCAAGTGTTCTGTCACATGACCTGCACAAAGGGGCAAAGGTAAGGGAGCAAGTATGGCCAGGCAACTGCAAATAATTTGATGTGACTAAATTAAAAACACAGGACAGAAAAGATGTGAGAGAAAAGGCTCCTGAGTAAGACAGGGTGAGTCATAAAAAGCCTTACTGGCTTTTCAGAGACATCATGTCTCTACATGGATGTAGCAAATGGTTTAAATTAGAGGTGAGATGCTAATTGGAGGATTTTTAGGTAGACTGATCCATCGACAGTAAAAGGAAGACACAGCAGTTAGAAGGTTACTATAGCCATATCAACTTCAAATGAAGGTTAGAAGTAATGAAGGAGAGAAAACCATGGAGAAAGGTTGGACTGCTCAAATGGTTCCATATTTAAACAAGTTCTGATTCTTGACTGGACAGACAGAATAAGAAAAGCAGAAACGGTGTTAGCTACCCTGGCGTCCTGGCCACTTTCTGAGGTAGGTGCTGAAAGTAAGTAATTTCTGGTTCTTCTATTACTGACTCATGTAATAGTCCCACAGATTGGGACAGGTGCTTCTGGAATGGAATGCACAAATCTGATGGCAAGTCATGGATACAGACAAAAGAAACACCAACAGTGGCAGTGATCCTGGGGGTAGATGTTTAGAATACAAGAAGAGGACCAGCCTGAACCTTCATGGATACCAACATGGAATGAGTCGTTTTAGGATGGCAAGTCTCTCAAGAGAATTTAGAAGACTGGTTGGAGTGTGAAAAGAACTGTATGACACACCTGCCTGTCTACTAAGAATCACAAGAATGGAGTTTCGAACAAATCAACCACAAAAATGTATTAGAGACATTTAGGAAGTAAGTTACTTGTGACTTAGCAGCATTTCCCTTCGGTGAGAAGAGCAAGTTATAGGAGACCGAGAAAGAAATGAATGCTGAGCCGGTCTGAGGAAGGACAAAGCAAGGTTTGAGATCTCTAAAACAAAAACACTAATGTAAACTACAAGCATCACATACTTGACAACCAGACAAATGGTTGGTAGGGGTCCTAGTGTAAAACTCTTACACTTGAAAACCAGTAAGAATACCCTATGGGTAGGGCAGGGTTCAAGTAAAATTTGTACTAGAATCAGAGTCCTACCACCTCAATCCCCTCTTCCACTTCCTCTGTTTTTCTGTTGGATGTGTATTCTGAGGACTGAATACACATCTCTGTGTGTATTCTCTCTGTGGCAGGAAATGGTTTCATCACGTGTCTTCCAGTTTAGAAGTAGGTGGTTTCAGTCACTTTCCACTCTAAGACTCAATCCAGTGTCTGACAGGGGGGATGCCATGAGGGAGAAGGGCAGCTCCCAATTAGTGCATTCTCTTTTATTGCAAAATTTCTTTTCTTTAAATTTGCTATTTTATTTATTTACATTTCACATGCTATCCCCTCTCCCCATCCCTCTGCCCCCTCCATTAGCCGCCATCCCATCCCTCCTCCTCCTTTTTTGCTTTTATACCATTTAAATTACATGCAAGTATTAAGGTTAGTTCTAGGTTGAGAAACTAGCAAATCAGCAGGAAAGGGTGACTGACAGAACGTTCATTACAAGAAATAGCTAATAACACCCACATATGTGTGGTGCTGTTGTACAAGAAGACACTGCACTCTCACATTTTCAAGATTTCAAAATGCTTTTTAATGAACTCCTCTCAAACTAAATCTCCAGGATATCTTCCCTTCCAATGACACTTTGGTTAAGGGGGCATAAACAGTAGACAATGCTGTTTGGCTTAAACATTATAGCATGCGACTATCAGAAGTAACTGGGGAGAAGACAACAGGAAGCCCCGGGCCAGCTGTCTTCAAGCATTCAAATAGCAAGCCTAGAGAAGGACTAAGTTAGTATCATCCTAGCAGATGGAAGCAGGACTAGCTAGGATAGCATTCTATTAGGAGACTGTCTAATGACTACCTCAATCCTGGGAGGGAACCGCCTTATGATATAATGGAGAAACTACTTTAGAATAGATGGTTTTGCACCCAGGATGTTTGGATTCAGGAAATCCTGAATAGCTCTGGAAATTGCACTGCCTGGTTTTCAAGGTCACTTCCAATTAACTTTATTTTTAATTTCCATTAAAACACTAGTAGATAATAATCAACCATGGGATGCAAGAGAAAGAATGTGTATACAGGCGGGGGGCATTGTTCTAACAGCTGTCTGGTTATTAAATACTGGTTTCCTAGACTTAAAAAAAAAACTGTGATAGTTTGACAAGAAATGTTTTACATAGGCTCCTGTATTTGAATATATGTTGGCCCCTGGTTGGTTGGGAAATTTGTGGAGGCTTAGGATACGTGCCCTTGCTTGTAGAAGTATGTGTTACTGGGACCAGGCTAGGCCAGTTTGCTCTCTCTGATTCATGCTTTTGGTTGAGGATGTAATTCGTGGTCCTTTGCTCTAACCTCCATGCCTAGTTATTAAATACTGGTTTCCTAGTATTTAATAACTGCTGCCATGCTTCCCTTGACGCAATGGGATTGTATTGCTCTGGAACTGTAAGACAAGTGAATTCTTTTTTTCCATAAATTGGTTTCAGTCATGGTGTTTAATTACAGCAATAAAAAAGGAAGGAATATAGCTACAGAAAACCCCATACAAATGACCATATGTGTAGACACCTTTTCCTGTCACTTACAGATTCAGGAGGAATAACCTGGTAGATGGAATGTGCTCCATAAAATCCTTTTATGAAAAAAGGGAAACAAAGTTGGAAAAAAAAAAGTCCCTCCCTGCAAAGATACCCTTTAACAAGGTCAAACGGCTCTGAGAATAATTTTTCCTCGTGATAAGAAGCATCTAAGAGTGCACTAGGTGGCGCTATCAAGTGTTGGAAAGAGAGTTTGACTAAGGTGACTAAGGTAATTCTAACAGTCATTAAATGTCTTGAAACGTTCCACACATTCTCAGTCTCTGCCACTAATCTCAGGTTTGTAGAAAAATAATGAAAATCTTAATCTGAGAGCTTCCACTCCAAGATTAGATCAAGTTTAAATAAACTATAGGTTTAACACATTTTAAAATAGTTTCTTTATTTGACAATTCATTCTGTTCCACTGCAGTGGAAGCTGTAAAGTTATTAACATGTAAATTTATTAACAATTTAAACATATTGCAACTATTCACTTCGGTATTCACATATCTATACTTATTTATAATGAATCTTTAAATAAGTTTCTTCAAAAATCCCCTGAATTCTTGAAGGTTTAAATAAAAAAATAACAGTAAAATCTACCACTTCAAGTGATACAATAGTCTAACATAAATACATGGTACAATACATTCTAAAATCATTCTTTCAGTCTATTATTTCTTATAAAAATAACATTTCATGATTTACTTGAAGACAAAATACATAAAGTGCAAAATACAAAGGTTCATCTTCAACTTTGTTTTCTTTTAAATGTTAAATATTTAAAAGGCCAAGAAGGACATTATCAAATTTTGAAAAAGTCTCTTGGAGTCTGAGTGATTTTGATTACGAGCCATCAAACTATTGTGATTTTTTCAACTTCTCTTTCCAGTTCTGCATCTAGAATTTCCCCCCACGTATCTGCATCCATGGGGCACATAGCCTTTTCTGGCAGGCTAACAGGAGAACGAATGTTGCTGTATCTGCCACTTAGCCAATCGTGTTTCACTTGGCTCTTCTGGTAATTTCTTAGGAGTATTACCTGAAAGGGATAGACATTGTCATTCAAAAAGACGCTGGCAGCATGATTGGCTGGTGCATATGTCTACAGGTAGAGAAACTCATTCACAGGACTGAGATTAATTACTGACATGGAAGTACACATATTAATCACATTGATAAATTCATGTGTGCATGTATGGATTAGTGAATATACAAAGAGCAGGCTCTTTTGTACATATTGGAGGTTTTCATTAGGTGGAATGAAAAGAAACCGGCTTCTTTACCTCCCTTCTGCTTAACAAGGAAAGTTCCTGACTTTAAGATCTGAGCCGTACAAAGCTGAGAACAGTGTGGAGACTGTGCCAGTAGAAAGGATAATAACTCAACTTTAACTGCCTCCCTAAGGTCAGCACACTCTGTATGTTACCCTAAGTAGAAATTATAGTATTCTCTTAACTGTGCTACAACACCTCTGTCAAAAACCATGACAAGTTGCAAAGATTAAACTTACCCTCCAGGTATAACCCTTTTCTATATCATCATCTATTTCTCTTTGGCACACAGCTCTTATGGTTAAACAGTGGGGTTTCCACAAGCTGTCATTGTTTCTTATTGCACGGTTCCAACTTGTACATGTCCTGGAAGCTCTGCATAAACTCTGAATGTCTAGCTGGCTGAAAATTTTAGAAGTGACTTCCAGGGGCAGCATTTCAACAAAGTTACTTGGACTCTCTTTTTTTCCCCTTTCAGCATCCGTGGAATTCAATTCTGTATCAGGAACTTTGAAATTATTGTTCTCCTTGGAAGTTTTCTTCATAGTTTGCCAAATTGTCTTCATATGTAACCTACAGGGCAGAGTTTATACTCAGAGTTTATACTTCAGACCAAACTGTGCGTCCTACTCTGAGTCAGACAGTTTGGGTATAATTGAAAGAACTTTACATTTCTTGACTTTGGCTTCTCAATCTGCAAGATGGAAGCCATGCTGTGTTTCTTGTGTGTTTTGTGAAAACTGCCAGCCAGGTGGAGTGGGTACAAACAAGTAACCACCCATCTGAACCGTACATGTGAGACATTGAACACACTCCCTTTGCTTTGAACATTGTATTTTAGCAAATATGATTGTTTCTATATGTTTTGTTTCTTGCTGCTCCCGAAGAGCATTAAATTTAAAAAAACAGGAAATGATTCTCCATGTCATGCATTTACTGAGTTTAGTAATAATGGCTACTTTAATATTAAAAGTCTGTGTGTGAACTGATGCTTTACCATTGAGTTCTTCACCTTCAAGCTGATGTAGTCACAAACCTCTGGACCTTTAGTAATTTACATAAGAACTACTTAATTACTTGGATGTAGTGGACAGGTGCATACTCTTGTCATAAATTTACCTAAAATGGTCCAGGATGAAATCCTGGTTATAGCTACAAAGTCTCATATAGTCAATTAAGCTTCAAGAGTGGTGTCTTAGAAATCAATCTATCTTATGTGCCTAATTATCCGCTAAAGATAATTGTCCCTGAATCTATCCGTGAGTGACAACTACAATCTAAATAGTTCATAATTCAGCTAGGAATAGTATATAGCTAGAGATTTAAAGCCTGATTTCAGCTAATGTTCTCAAGGACCACGGTGTAAGCTTCTGGAAGCAAGGCTGTGCACAACACATTTGAGCTACTTGGCAATATAAACACCATTTGTGTTTACCTTGTTTATAATATTTACAGTTCCTTTTATAGTGGAGAATCAGGATACAATAGACATTTGATGTATATCTAAGTATCTCTTCACTCAGCTAAGAACAATTCCCTTTTCAGATGTACTACTCATCATGGTAACTATCTTTGATTTGGCTGTTTATGACCCAAATTGGTTGTGGTTAGAATGGTAATGTCTGTACTGAACAGGGGCCCTCCTTTAGAACTAGAAAAATAGAAAGCAACTTGTTGGACAAAACAAGACAAACCGAAAAAATTCATTGACAAGATCAAGGAATCTTCTCCCTTCCTACCACTGGTACAAACTAAAGGCAAAGCCGTATCTTTGAAACAAAGTTTCTATTAGGAGGTTACACTACATTCAGATGTTTGTTGTTTCTCCCACATTCTCACTAGGAATAAAATGCTTCCTTCTGTCAAAGGAATTCCACAAGAGGCAGAAAGTTTTTCAATTGAACATTCTGTGGTGCCTTGGTCATATTTCCAAAAATCTCATTAGGAATCTTCTAAATTATCTTCATTGAATGCTTGGAAAGCTATCCCTTGTATGTCGCTTCTTTTTGAACCAACCGTGGGGAACTATTAAGTTAGCTTGGGGCCCTCCCACCTTCCTTTCAAAGATTTTGTTTTGTCTGCAAATAGGTCTCAGCATAAAGGGCGTGCACTGCCTGCAGCAGCCAAGGTGGGGTCGGGGTGGAGGATTCCCTAACTGGAGTAACAGTCAGTGGCAAGGCCCCTCTGTGAACGCTGGGAACTAAACCTGGGTCTTCGGGAAGAGCAGGCACTCTGGGCCACCTGCAGCCCCTTCACCCACCCGTCCTGTCAAATGTCACTTGGAGTGGGCAAACGGAGGTAGAGTACCTCCAGACAAGACTACTTCTCAGCGAGCCCACACCGGTCCTGCCGAGCGCAACTGCATCCCTGCGTGATGTGAGGACAGGCACCGACCGGAGAACTGACCGATCGACAGATCACAGTCGAGCAGGCTGGGGAAGGGCTGAGCGGCCTCTCCTACCTAACGGCGCGGTGCCGGCTCCTCCCGCGATTTCAGTCGTAGGGATTTGAATTTTTTCCGGAAGGCCTTCGTGTCCCGCCCTATCAAGCCCCGCTCCTCCCATTTGCACGCGCGGTCCCTTCTGGGACTGGTAGTTTTTCCTGCGTTTCATCACCGTAAGGGAAGGAAAGAAAGGCGGCCCAAGTGACTGCAAGGTCCAGCGTGCCCGCTGAGTGACAGCCGCAGCACGGGCGGGACTTTCAAAGGGTGGACTCCCAGTGTGTTTTGGTGGCTAGTGAGTGCTGCGAGGCAGCGGAGGATTTGCGCGCCAAAGCCAGGAAACTCTGCAACATGTTTAGGTACTCCTTCCCTGCGGTGTGTACTTGGCAAAGGTTGCTGAAAAAGACGTTCACGTAGTGTTTATTTTTTTTCTTGGACAGGTGATTATTTAAATGTTTTGATGATCATTTCATGTTACTCGTTTCCTTAGTTTCTTAGCATTGTAAACATTCCAGAAAGCTGCCTGGGGAAGCTTAACTCTCAATGCAGTATATTTAGTAGTATCTTGCAGAAGTATAGTGAAATATCAAGGACTACCGAGACTGCAAACTTTTCGGTTTATGTGGTTATTAAGTTAGCTGAGCGTTTTATTTTTGTTTCCAGAGCATTTATTAGCTAGCATTTGCTAACATTCAGCTTTTACCCCCTTGCCAGTCCTTCGTGCAGTTCTCCATTTCTCTATAACTGCGCTCGCTTATTACACCCTTCTGGCTTTTAGTTTGAACAGTCTATATGTCTCTGATTATAAAGATGCTGAAGAGAGACACTTGTTTATTTATAGATAAGTAATAGTAGAAAGCATCCTGGGGGAACTTCCCAGGATATATAACCGTCTCATAGGGAAGCTCAACATACCGTTATGGATTCAAGAAACTTTAACTCAACTGGGAAGCCACATTTAAGATTCCAGATTCCAGGTGGCAGCTCTGCACCTAGTCTCACAAAACCCAGAGGAAGTGAACCTCCCAGGAGCCTAACCTGGCAGTATCTTAGGTAAGGAGACAGCAACACCTGCCCCAAACAGGGAGTAACTGGTACCCACTAGGACTCAGGAATTCACTCCTGGCCTGGAGCACTGATTCCTTCCGATCTGGGCCCTATCACTGAGCAGATCTTGCGCCCCAGCTCTAACCCCAGTAGTAACACCCAACTCACACAGTTCTGAAACAACCAAGATAACAGGAAAGACAGGCTCCAGTAAGAGAAAGGGTAGGTAGCACTAAGGAGATCCAGATGGTGAAAGGCAAGCCCAAAAACATAAGCATCAGCAACCCAGGGTACCTGGCATCATTAGAACCTAGTTCTCCCACACTAGAAAGTCCTGAATTCCCCATATCACCAGGAAAGCAAGATTCAAATTTAAAATCACTTCTAATGATGAGGATAGAAGACTTTAAGGACATAAATAACACTCTTAAAGAATTTGGGGAGAACACAGGTAAACAGGTAGAAACCCTTAAAGAGGAAACACAAAAATCCCTTAAAGAATTACAAGGGAACACAACCAAACAGGTGAAGGAATTGAACAAATCCATCCAGGACATAAAAATAGAAGTAGAAACAATAAAGAAATCACAAAGGGGGACTACCCTGGAGATAAAAAGCCTAGGAAAAAAGTCAGGAGTCATAGATGCAAGCATCTCCAACAGAATACAAGAGATAGAAAAGAGAATCTCAGGTGCAGAAGATACCATAGAAAACATTGACACAACTGTCAAAGAAAATGCAAAATGCAATAAGCTCCTAACCCAAACCATCCAGGAAATACAGGACACAATAAGAAGACCAAACCTAAGGATAATAGGTATAGATGAGAGTGAAGATTCCCAACTTAAAGGGCTAGTAAATATCTTCAACAAAATTATAGAAGAAAACTTCCCTAACCTAAAGAACGAGATGTTCATAAACATACAAGAAGCCTACAGAATGCCAAATAGACTAGACCAGAAAAGAAATTCCTCCTGTCACATAATAATCAAAACACCAAATGCACAAAACAAAGAATATTAGATGCAGTAAGGGAAAAAGGCCAAGTAACATATAAAGGCAGACCTATCAGAATAACACCAGACTTCTCACCAGATACTATAAAAGCCAGAAGACCCTGGACAGATGTCATACAGACCCTAAGAGAACACAAATGCCAGCCCAGGCTACTATACCCAGCAAACTTTCAATTACCGTAGATGGAGAAACCAAGATATTCCCTGACAAAAACAAATTTTCACAATATCTTTCCACAAACCCAGCATTACAAAGGATAATAGCAGGAAAGTTCCAATACAAGGAGGGAAATTATACCCTAGAAAGAGCAAGAAAGTAATCCTCTTCCAACAAATCCAAAAGAAGATAGCCACACAAAGATAATTCCACCTCTAATAACAAAAATAACAGGAAGCAACAATCACTGTTCCTTCATATCTCTTAACATCAATGGACTCAATTCTCCAATAAAAAGACATAGCTAATAGACTGGATATGTAAACAGGACCCAGCATTTTGCTGCATACAGGAAACCCACCTCAGTGACAAAGACAGACACTAGCTTAGAGTAAAAGGCTGGAAAACAATTTTTCAAGCAAATGGTCCTAAGAAACAAGTTGGAGTAGCCATTCTAAAACGCCCATCCTGAGAACATAAAGGGAGGGACTCATGGCTCCACCTGTATCGGTAGTTGAGGGTGATCTTGTCAGGCATCAGTGGAAGTGGAGGGCCTTGGTGCCTGATAGTTTGGATTCCCTAGCATTGGGGAATTTGAGAGCACAAAGGTGGGAATGGGAGGATGGTGGGAGCATACCCTCATAGAAACTCCCAGAATTATATAGATTAGATATGATAGAGACAGGCCGCCAGAAGCCTAGATTCCAGAATTCAAACAAAAAATTATCTTGATACTAAAATTTATTTTGAGAATTCTATATTGCAGAATGCACAGCCTTGGTGTATCTACCCATCAAACAAGCTGAGAAGACCTGCTCAAACCTCAGATGTCCTGGAATTTCAGCTGGAAGCAGTGAAGTCACAGACGTCAGAGGCTTATCAATT